CTCCTCCTCCTCCTCCTCCTCCTCCTCCTCCTCATCATCATCATCATCATCATCATCATCATCGTCATTATCATCATCGCCATCAGCATCACCATCAGCAGTATTATTAATAACATGTGTGTTACTTGTTTGTCTTTTCTTTTTGTTCCTCCTCCACCCTCCGGCTTTCTCTTGCATCCGCCTCCTTCGTTTAACTCCTCCTCCTCCTCCTCCTCCTCCTCGTCGTCCTCATCCTTGTCCTCCTCATCACCATTGTTTTGATTGTCATCACCATGTTCATCATAAGCATTATCACCATCGTCATCATCATCATCATCATCATCATCATCATCATCATCCTCATCCTCATCCTCATCTCATCCTCATCCTCATCCTCATCCTCATCATCATCAGCATCATCATCAACATCAACATCATCATCATCATCATCATCATCATCATCATCATCATCATCACATCATCATCATCATCATCATCATCATCATCATCATCATCATCATCATCATCATCATCATCATCATCATCATCATCATCATCATCATCATCATCATCATCATCATCGACATCATCATCATCATCATCGTCATCAGCATCATCATCATCATCATCACCGTCGTCGTCGTCGCCATCGTCATCATCACCTTTCTCGTCATCATCATCCTTCTCCTCCTCCTCCACCTCCTCTTCCTCCTCCTCCTATTCCTCCCTCTTGCTCCTTCCTCCATCCGCATCCTTCCTCCTCACTACTCCTCTTCCTCCTCCTCCTCCTCCTCCTCCTCCTCCTCCTTGATCTCCTCGATGTTCGCTACTCGATGCTGCGGACTCTGGTACCTTCCTGAATCAAAGCCACCCCCCAGCCGCCTGTGCCGCTGATGGGGGCGGCAGGGAAGTAGCGGTAAAGCTCCCTCCTCCTTGTCATCCTCACCCTTCGCCATCCTCTTCGTCCTCATTATTATCCGCCTCCCTCGATGACTCAGTGATGCGGACGAGTTCGCGTCGAAACGCCGATACCCTCGAGCCCACCCCCGGCGACCCGCAGGGTGAGGGCGAACAATTTCCGTCCTGAATGTTGGGGTGGGGTGGGGAGGTCTTCGCATGGGTCGCGTCCAAGTGGCGACCCAGGAAGCGGCCCGGCCTGTGCCCTGGGCCGGCGGCCCCTGCGGCGGGGGGGGCAGGACGGGAAGGAGGGGTCGAGGCTGACAGAGCGTTGGGCTGGGGTCGCCGCTGCAGGGTGCAGCTGTTCCCTGCTCTCGGCAGTCATCCATCCCTGCGTGGGTGGGTGGCTAGTGCAGTCTATGGCGCGAGTCGCACGCGCCGGATAAGCTTGCGGTCGGGGGGGGCTCGTCGTCGCCGAGGGTGTTGGCGCTGGGCAGGGCGTCGGTGCAGCGCACCCGTCGTGGGTCGTGGGGGGCGAGGGGTCGGGAGTATTTGTTTTGATTTTGATGTTTTTGGAATATTTCTCCAATATAGGGGCACGCCCGACTTAAGCGTAGCCGCAGCGCTCCCCGATGGTCCTCGCCGAGAAAAAAGCAGGCGCACGCCCGAGCGATGCCAATTAAGCGGAAGGGGTCGAGACCTCTGGGGGCCCACGCCGCGAGCAGATCACGAGTGTGGGGCTCCCCAAGGCCGCGCTGACGGCGCGCTTGGCGAACGGCGTGCTCGGCCTGTGTGACACCGGGCTCACGCAGGACAGACATGTAGGAAAGCAACCGCTTCCTGGGCGCCAGAGATGCGAGAAAAAAAGCGACACAGCGAGTTGTAGGCCAACGCGAACCACGCGTTCCTACCATCGGTTCGGCCACGAAGCACGCTCTCCTACAACTGGTCCTCCTACACCGCCATTCGCTAACACACCGTCAGCGCGGCTACGGGCACTGGGTGCAGAAGGCTCCTTCCTAGACGCGGCTACGGGCTCGACCCGAGCAGTGCTTGCCAGCCTCGTTCCGGCTTCGCTCTCCCTCGTGTTGTCTTCCCCGTCCGCCTCTGCCGCACAGGGAAGCCCAAAACACCGCTCATTGAGGGATGAAAACACGACCCTACCCTGGGTTACAAGTGCGTGGTCTGTAAACCTCCTGGGAACCCCCAAAGCCTAGAGCCGCCAGGACGCGGCACATCACGCAGGGTTTACCCTGTCAGCCCACAGGAGTTTCAGCGCACAGCGCCTCGTAAACCAGGGCAGGGGCGTTCTTTGATGCCCTTGAGCTCAGGTCCGCCCCGCATGCACTCCACCGCAGTGCCTGACAAAGGGCCCTCCAGGGCCCTGACGTGGTGCGCACGCAACTACGGCCTGCCAGCCGCGGCCGGGAGCCGCGGGAGAGAGCCCAGACTCGCCTCGACACACCGCCTCGGCGCTCGAGATGCATCGGAACGGCGGAAATATCGGCAGCCGAGCGGGAGAAGGCGAATCGGCAGGGCCTCGGCAGGCTAATATACCGCCTCCAGTGAGACCTCGGAGCCCACATCGGCATCCCGAGTCGAACGGCCTCGGGCCTCGGGATCCACTGACATCGCATCGCATCGCATCGCATCGGAGGAATCGAAATGAGCCCTGCCAGGAGGGCCGAAGGACCACCCTGGGAGCGCGTGTCCTTATTTTCGGCGATGGTGGGCATTATAGGGGGGCAGGGGCCAGGGGGGGCGGGGTATAATGTAACACCTCCCCCCCCCGCCGTGCGCACGGCGGCATTGCCCGGAGCGCACTGGCGGGGGAGGGGCGTTACGTGAAAGGGCGGGGGAAGAGGGGGCCGGGGGCTATAATTAAGTCGGGCGTGTTCCCCTACAGGGGGATTCTGGACGGAAGATAATATGCAACAAATGCTACCAAATGATGAAAAATCAAAACATCGCCCCCAGATTTGTTTGACTATTTTGGAATATCCCTCCTGTAGAGGGACAGGCTCGACTTGAGGCTACAATGCCCATTCATGCCCCAAGCAATGAAGAAACACGCTCGAATGAGCCCTGCCAGGAGGGTCGCAGGACCATCCCTGGCCATCGCTCGGACGTCAATTCCCTGTGTTTCTTTCGGTTTCGTGCGTGGCTTTTCCGCCAAATGATGAAGGATGCTCCTCGATGGTCCTCGCCGACGGAAAAATGCACACGTCCGAGCGATGCCAAGATCCCGGGGCCCAGGCCTGCCCCGGCAAGGACCGCGAGGGCGGCGGTGTTGAAGGGGCCCTGGGACACACAAATAAACACACACACACATAAACAGATTCTGTCCATATGTTCCCACACGTTCTGGGTCTCTGTCTTCCCCCCCCATCCCACCTTTTCCTGTATTCTCCTGGGACTCGACGATTACTTGTGTCTGTGCGTTTTGTTCCCCTCCTGAGCCAGGAGGGTCGAGGGACCATCCTGGGCCCCCGGCCGGCCCCGGCACGGACCGCGAGGGCGGCGGTGGGCACGCCGTGCCCTCGAGAAGCGGAGGCAAGCACCGGCCTGCGGCCCTGTGCGCCGGCTGTGGCGCGAGCCTCTCCGGCCCCCCCCAAGCTCAGGTCGGGCACGTCTGAAGGGGCCCAGGGGCACACAGATAAATACCACGCACACAAATCCCAGGCTTCCAAAGATTTGTCCATCGTTTCTGGAGCGTCGTCTTCCCACCCACTTCCCATACTTACCGGTTTTTTTACCGGTTCCGTTTTGCCGTTTTTGTTGCCGGCTCCGACGCCGTTTTTTTACCGGTTCCGTCGCCGTTTTTTGACCGGCTCCGGCTCCAGTTCCAATCCTGGAGCTGTTTTTGTTGCCGTTTCCGGTCGCCGTTTTTTTTGCCGTTTCCATTTTCAAGGGGCTTTTTTTTGAGACGGTGAAAAAACGGCCCTGCCGTTTCCGGGGCCCACAAAGGCCCAGGGGCACACTGATAAATACACACACAAATCCCAGGATCCCAAAGATTTTCTCATAGTTTCTGGAGCTTCGTCTTCCCACCCGCTTCCCATACTTTCCGATATTTGCCTGGAAATCGACGCTTAATTGTGTCTGTGTGTTTCTGTCCCTCCTGAATGTCCTCCTACAGGCGGATATTGGAGGACACATCGAAATTACGCAAACAAAATTTCAAGCACAGCCAGGAAGAATCGAAAGATCGTCCCCAGATTATATTTTCTGACTTTGGGAAATTCCTCCTGCAGAGGGGCATGCCCGACTTAATTAACCCTGAGCCTCCCGATCGCCCTCCAGGGCCGACTACATCTGCCGACTCGCTTCCTGTGGCTGGCCCCAGGAGGCCCAGGAACCCAGACCCCCGACGCCGTGATGTTCTCACCACGCCGACCCCCATGAGGTCTCGCGCCCTTCCCCAGGACGATGTTGCTCCCATCGTACTTGAGGCCCACATGGCAAAAGCAATTTCGAGCACCCAGCAAAAATATCGAAACAGTGTCGCACGAGCATCGCCTCCCCGGGCCCGGCACATGAAAACCACTCAAGTTTCGGTAGTTGTTTGGTGCTCGAAATTATTTCTGGTGATCGAGACCAAATCGGGGGCGGCAAAGAGGGGGGTGTCCAAGAGGGGGGGGTGCAAATCATGACCGGCGGCATGTGCGCGGCCCAGCGGGGGGGCCAGGGACGTAATGAAATAAGAAGAGGCGCCATGAAAGCTGGGGAAATATCATGGCCCCCGTCATGATATCCCCCCCCCTAGTCATCACCCCCCTCTTTTCCGCCCCCGACCAAAGTAAGTTGGATCAGCATAACCCCAGGACCGGTTTCTCACCCTGAGTCGTTTTCTCACGGTCCCGAGGCCCCGCAGAGGGCCCCCAGAGGCCGACCATTGCGAAACGCCTCCCGTCGCGAGTCCTTCACGACGCGAGGGGACCCAGGAAGGCGCCCTGGAGGCCTGGGATGGCTGAGCATCTGTAGCTCGATCCCGGTCGAACCTCCACGAGACGGTCTGGGAGCGCCTCGAGGGGGAGGCGACTGCGGCGGCCGCGTCTTCGGGCGGGGGCGGGCGCGGACACCGGGGGGTGCCCTGGCCGCGCGCGCGGCCGCGCGCCGCGGGCTCAGTCCAGGGCGTCCAGCGACACCGCCCCGGGAGCGCCGTGCGCCTCCTCTCGGCGGCCAGTGGAGGCCCATGCCGAGAGACGCCCTGCCTGCCTCCAGGGTGCCCTGGGCTTCCTGGGCTTCGATGGTTTGGCTCGGGAGAGGGTCTCAGGGTCGGGTTTCTTGTGGACTGGCCTTGTAGAGGCATCCTGGATGGGGCCCGTGTGTATCTGACCCCGTCTGCTCGGCCCCCATCTGGGAGGCCCAGACCGGTGCGGCCGACGTGGGGACGGAATTGGTCCATCATTAGTTAAGGCGAAGACCCGCAGCAGCTCATGCCCACTCTGTGCCGCCGCGGGCGCTGCCCACGATGGGACAGGCGTCGCCTGCCCCACAGCGGCCGCTGTGTTGGCTTTGAGCAGCGTGTGCTGGTGGGCATCGTACGACGAAAGCAGGACGAAGCCCAATTCGGGCGAGGATAAATCGAGAATCTCTGAGATCTGGCAGCTCTGGAGGATGTCTCGGGCGCCGCGGTCTTCTCAGAGCGTTCCGAGCGTTCCGGAACGCTCTGGGACGGATCTGTCCTCGTCTTGGCCCCGTCCGAATTGGGCATCGTCCCCATTCCGTGAGAGCCGACGGCGTGAAACAACTGCAGCATCATGCAACATCACGGCCTGTGCTCTCGACCTTCCCTTCCTCTGGCACTTCCCGAGCCGGATCGATCTGTGAGGGCCCCAGGGCCCCAGGCTGGGCGAGAACGCCCGGCGTGAAACGACTGCACTGCCCAAATCTCGATACATTCCGCGTGCCCAGATCGGGCGTGCCACCTCTCGGGGCAGCCAAAGAGGGGCGAGCAGCGACACACGTACACGTACGCCCTCCGCGGTCTCGCCTGCACGAGCGTCCGCGTCGACACGCACTCCAGGGGAAGCTAACCGCGTACGTCTACTCCAGATTTCGTAAGAAAGGGAGGGGGGTCTCATTTCGGGGGGGGGGTCTCTTCCAGGCTATCTTGGAGGGCCTGGGGGGTCTGGGGACGATGTTTTGGAGGGTTCTCCCACGGGAGGGGGTCTGGAATGGCTTCTTGGAGGGTCCAGACCCCCTCCCTTTTATTACGAAATCTGGAGTACGCGTACATCTGTTGCTGGCCTCTGACAAAGAGGGGAGGCCAGGATGAAGGGGGGCTATCCGTGGAGGCTTCCGGGTCATGCCTCGAGCCTGGGGCGGCCGTTCGGGACGATGCGGGCACCGCCGGGAAGTCTCCGACGGGGCGCAGCTGCTGGCAGACAGGCCGAGGCCAGAACAGCCCCTGACAGACAACGGAAGCTCCCTCCCCGGCGGCGAAAACGTCATCCCCTTCACTCGCAGGGATAGAGGAAGAAACAACGCCATAATTCAACATGCACTTTTTGGCGCTCAGCGCGGATTTCTTGGATCCGCGCCTGGGCCCCCCGGGCGGCGCCTCCAGCGACGCCCCTGGCGCGCTCCGCGCGCCAGGGGGGGGGCGCAGCGCAGATCCAAGAAGTCCGCGCGGAACGCCAAACGTTTATGTTTATGGCGCCGTTCTTCTTCTGAGGGAACGACGTGGGAAAGCTACCGCTGAGGGTCAGATCTCTGAACTGCCGGAGCGTCTGCAGCCAAGCGGGCCCCTCCAGGGGCGTTCTCCACATAGCCTTAGGTCGGGCGTGTCCCCCTACAGGCGGAGTTTGGACGAAACATGAAAAATACCCCCATGGACGAAAGTGCACAACAAATGCACAAAAATGCTCCAACATAATTGAAACACATCGTTCCCAGATTATTTTTGGACTACGTTTGAATTTTCCTCCTGTAGAGGGACAAACCCGACTTCAACATAGCCCCTCGCGGACTGGATTTCTGCAAGGGCCGGGCCCGCCCGCAGGCCCCCCGACGCCATGAAGTCGTCACGGCGTGAGCCCCTGCGGGCTCTGACCCAGGGCTCGACCACAACCCTGTGTCTTGTTCTCGTTTTGCTTTCGTTTTCCCTCGTTTTGTCTCCAGTCCCCCCTTGCCGCAAAACGAAATCGGAACGAAAACGGCCCACGAACTCGCCAAAGCACCGTTTAGATGCACCCCAGCTCTGGGCCCTCCCTCAGAAACGGGATTTTCATTCCGAACTCGTCTTGTGACGGTCCCCGGGCCCAGAGGTGGCCCCAGGAAGCCAAAACTACTGCCAAAAAACCTCCCGCCCTGTGCTTCGCACGGCGCGACGGGTTCCCCTGGGATCCGACGCTGCGTACATACATGCAAAATCGTGCAAAACACCATGACCGGAACCCTGGACCCATCTTTCTGCAGCATGTGTGGAGCCGGGCCGATCTGTGAGGGTCCCAGGGCGCCCGGGACAGGGCACAGTCGCCCGCCGTGAACAAAAACGCAACGCCTGGATCTCAGGGTCTGGCACTTGGATCACCGCTGAGGTTGCTGAGGTAGGTTCTAATGCACGGTTTCCCCCAGGGCCGTAGGCGACCCGAGGAGGAGGAGGAGGAGGAAAAGGAGGAGGAGGAGGAGGAGGAAGAGGAGGAGGGCGGAGGAGGAGTAGGAGGAGGAGGACGGGCCGCCGAAGCCCTTCGGAGAAACCCTCCAGGTTCTAAGTGGATGCCAAGGTGGGCTTTGACTGGCCTATATCGAATTCGTAGAGGCCCTCAGTGCCTTAAACGTGAACCACTGCCCACACATCCGGCGCACCAGTTTAGTCGATGCGTGGGCCCCCGGAGTATAGGGCGGGTTCTTCGTCCCGAGTCGTTTCTTGACGGTCCCAGGGCCCGTTGGGGGCGCCAGGAGGGCAACCACAGCCCCAAACCAGCAGCTCCTCCTTTTTCGGAGCTTCCGATCTCTCGCAGCGATGATCCGAACAAATGGCCGCAGATCTTGGCTCTAAAGTCGGGGGTTGCTAAAGGGGCCCCTGACCCAAGGTGCCCCCAGCTTCCCGTTCCATTATGAAGCCCCTGGGGCCCTCTGGGCCTCGTGAGGGGTGCTCTGGAGGCCGTGGGGGGTTCCTTGGAAATCCTGGGGGGGCAAATAGTGGCCAGGGGCACTTCTAGCAACAACCGATATAAACAAAAAACACATGTTCTGCAACCCTCGTTACCCCTCGATGTATCGCCCACCTGTTACTGTGGACGCCCGCATTCGGTACGGGAGAAATGGGCACGATGCCCACAAACAAATCTTATCCAAAGCCGACAGCGGCCGGTGTTGGGGAGGCGGCCTTCTGCTTCAGATAAACAACACTCGCCGCGACGCCGACAGCGAATCCTGTTCAGAATGAGCAGCGACTGTTGTTAGGCTTTGTGCCCATCGTTTCCGTACCCATTTCGGCCCCCCACACGCAGACCCCCGACGTCGTGATTTTGCTCACCACATCGACCCCCAGAGGTCTCGCCCCCTTTCCCGGCTTTTCATCCTCGAATCGTTTTTTGACGGCCCCGAGGCCCGGGAAGGACCCCTGGAGGCTGAAAATAACGGAAAACCTCCCATCGCGATTTCTTCACAACGCGAGGGGGTCCGGGTTTGGCGTTCTGCCCATTGTTTCCGTGCCCAATTCGGCCCCCTGGAATGACCCGACGCCCAACCCCCGACACTCCCCTGGCGCACGGAGGAGGAGGTGGAAAAGGAAGAGGCGGAGGGGGGGGTCCAAAACGGGAGTCCCAACCGAACCCACAGGAACGGGAGGGGGTCGAATTGAGGCGCGCAAAGCACCGACAAGGCCCAGTAGGGCCAGGGACAATGTACCGAAAGGGTGCCGCCTCCCACCACGCCCATCCAAACGACAGGGGCGGAAGGCGTCAGCCAGGGACCAAAAACCCAAAGGTGGGGGAAGGCCCCTGGGGACAAAAGAAGTGGCCGCGAGGTGATCGCACCAGCAAGGAAAGACGGCGGCTTAGTCCGACGATCCCGACTCCAGGCCCCCGTCCGACCCGACCTTCACCCCCACGCAGGCCGCCTCCTCAGGGCGGAAGGCAGCAGACACTCGACCGAATGCTTCGGGGCTCGAGGGCGCAGCACTGCTAGCGGCAGCGCGCGGAGGGGCGACAGGCAAGAGAGGGATGGGCCGCCTACTCACGGGCTCACGTCCAGCGGCAAGGGACTTGACCATCTACCTAATGTTCGCCAGCGTAGATTTGTTGACTGGCAGCCCACTGCAATATTCATAAATTTCTCAACGTACTTCTCGATGCTAAGGCTGTAGTGGCCACGCAGCTCACACATACCTGCGGGCCCCCAACGAACTCAACGATGGCCACCACCGATGTTGGGGGTCCAAAGCACCTGGGGTTAAAAAGCGTTTAAAAAATCTGCACTGTGCTAGCTAAGTTGAAACAGCACCTGCATTTAGCGGCATCTTGCCCATCGGGAACCAGATCGTGCTCAGTAACAGACAGCATGGGAACAATGGGCCCGTTTGTTTTCTTCAGGAATGACGTCTCTCCCAGACTGCGGTACATCCTGACCGCCCTCGAAGCCACGCGCGCGGTGTACTGGGCGATCTTCTTTGACACCTTGATGAGACCTTTGTGGTCCCCAGCGAAGGTGTCGGCAACTTCGACTCCCACGGCCCCTGCGTGTGCGAAGAAGGCCGCCAACGCATTCCCATGCGCGCGTGCTAAAGAGCCTCCGGCATCAAATAACGTGTCCATATCCTTGCGCGAAGGCACCCAGGTTAACTCACAACGCACCTCATCATCACGGCATAAATGGAAGGTCTTCCTCAACAGCGCTGCGTGCAGAGATCCGCTGGCCTCGAGCTCGGGGCAACACGCGTTGGCCTCCTCAACAAACGAGAGGTGGTCGCTGGCGATGGCCCCGGGCCGCTTGGCTCTCAGCAGCGCTCGACAACCTGCACGCCGTGCACCTCGTGGCACCGTTTGATCTCGACCAGGCAGCGCGCCTTATTGGGCACGCGCTGGGATGCCAGCGGGCGGGCGCAGCTGCGCCACCGACCAGCCCGCTCTGCGCGCGGTAGGTTGGCTGTTGTGCATGCCCGAGGCATCGGAATAACTAATGCCATCTCTCCAAAACACAATATCCGGATCACTGTCTGGAAGCCGCGGCAGGAGTGGCTCCAGAGGCAATCCGTTAGTCAACTCGAATGTGCCAGGGTCGTCAATGTTCTCCTCAACTCGCTTCGATCTCGACTGCCGAAAATCCGCAGCGTCATCTGGCGCCTCCTCAGGACGCGCCTCCGATGGTTGAAGCACAGCAGGGCATCCGTTCCACCGATGAGACAGCGCTCAATTCGGCGCACCAAAATGAAGGCATTCCCTTGAGACTGCGACGCCTAAGTCCACCGCTCGATCAGGACAGAATAAGCCTCCAACCCGAAGCTTCCCCAAGGCCCCTCCCATGGCCCCTTTCTTCACAACAGATTGCTAACGTCGTCGCCCTTCTCCAGATCAGCTCATCTCCGATCCGTTCAGGAACAGCCCACGAATCGATGCGACAATCCTTTTCTCCAGATCACGCGGGGCAACCTGCGGCAGTGGATATCTCTTTCCCACATCATCAAGACGTGCAGTCGGTCCAGCGAGCGTCCAACCTATTCTCGCCTGCGTGATCCGCGCCGGCGAAACAGGTCCTCTAGCCGGACTCCAAATGGGCTTGATATCGCGAAACTCGTCGCACACCGCTCGCCCCGTGCGATGCAGCTGTGATAGCGAGGTACGCCCATCCCACATAAAACAGCGGTAGCGTTTCATCGAGATGGCAGCGGAGTGAGTAGCCAGCGTTTCGTCAAGATGGGCCGAAGCGGTCATCGCGTTGAGTAGATAGGTCGTGGGTGAGGCGTTCTTGGCGGCGCCCACCGTGCTTCATTCAAAGGAGCGTAGCTGCTTCAGCACAGTGTCCGACGTTCCGCTAGCCCTTGCGCCGCGCCCTGCTGCAGGGTGGAGCCCCGTGCGCCGTGCTCTGCCCGCGCGCTCCTGCGCCGCTCGTCGCAGCGCGCGCGCCTTACCTGCTAGCTCTCGTAACTTAGCCAGACGCGCGCGCGCCTGCGCCCGACCCACTTTAACACCGCGAAGCTCTTCCCCGAGATTCCAGAGATGAGGCTTGGGTTTCTGTCTCATGCATGTGTCCTCCGACGAGAAACCCTTCTGAGCCCGAGCGGCAGTTGCCGCGAACCCCGACTTCGACTGCTGGAGGACGAGCCCTAGCTCCCTGACGTCGCCCCTGAAGTTGCGCGCGCGCGTTCAGCGCCGCTGCCTCCCGAGGGCCGGTCCATTGCCACTGCAGCGTGAAGTCATCCATCAACGGGCGTGCTGTTATAGCGTCGTATACGTTGTGCAAATTACCTACCACCCGATTGAGCACCAGCAGCAACACAGAGGTATCACGTGTACATCCAGCTAATATGCCTTGCAAACCAACATGTGTTGCGCTGAAATCCCCGCGCGCTCGAATAGCACGTGGCACTCGATACTTCTGGATAATCATCCCGTACCAGTCTCAACGGGTACTCGGGCACGCGCGCGTTACAAAGTACCATGTCCCAAAACATGATCTCTTAGCATTTCTACGTGTCGTGGAATACTGTGATCACATGTCGTTTTGCGCGCGCCTGCTGACTCCATTTGTAAAACTAACTGGCCTGATGAACGGCCTGCACCACTGCCCCAGAACGATGGTTGCCGACGACATTCCTCCAAAGCCACGCTACGGCGCCGTTGAGCTCGGCCCCATATCCTCAATTTTGTGCTGGGCAAAGCGATGAGAATGGTGCCACCGCTTGGCTTGGGCAGCATACGCAGCTCCGTGAACAACTGAGACTGACGCCACATCAGGAGAGTTGCGCGTTCCATGAATAACTCTGCATGGGCCTGCAAGCCATATCATCACACATAAAGCAAACTTGCAGAAGAATGCGAAATTGCCCGCGACCTGTGCGTCGAGCAAAGGACATGCTAATTCTGCGCAGCTGAGCTCCCGTCAACACTGGCAGCCGCCCCCAGGTCTCTGCATCAGCAGGCCGAGGAAGCTCACCAGCGTCGTGGATAGTTCATATCTGCTTCCACGTTTCCAAATCCTGATCAGCAAGCAGCGCTGGCGTAGAGTGATCTGACTCTTGCAATACTTGTTGCAAGGCCCGAAGGCGAGTGAAGCGGCGAGCATCGCGTCCACCATGTTTGAAGGCCTCCTTCGCCCACTGCTGCCACTCTTCCTTGCGCTGGGCCGAGTGCAGATCCTGCACCAACTGCGCCTGCGCCATCACCTGTTCCAGCTTCCACTCTAGCTCGCTACCGCCGAACCACGAAGTCCAACCTGCTTGACGGAACTCGCGGGCCGTATCGTCCAGCATAGGACGCACAGCAGAGGTGCGATACACCCTACGGGTAAAATTCTCCTGGTCATAAAATAGCACCCTCAGCTTCTCGACGTGCGGCTGCTTGGGTTTCTTGCGTGTCCTAGCTCCGCTGCGGACCGCCGTACCTCCAAACTGCTGTGGACCCGCCCTCGTCGCCACACCAGCGGCGGCCCTCTCCCCCAACCGTGCGCCAGAGGCGCACGGAGAGCCCACGGGCACCACAGCATGCCCACCCTGGGCACCGCCGAGCTCCCCGAAAAACGGGCCAGAGCTCGCGCCAAGTACTGCAGAACCCCCGTAGACGGGGCCAGGTCCTCGTATAGACTTCCCGAGAAGCGGGCCTGAGCCCATGCACGGTACAGCGGGACCCCCGAGGAGCGGGCCAGGTCTACGCTCGAGCTCCCCGAAAAGCTGGCCAGAGCTCATGCCAAGTACTGCGGGACCCCCCAGGAGCGGGCCAGGTCCTCGCCCGAGCTCCCCGATGAGCGGGCCAGAGCTCGAACCCATTGCCGTAGAACTCCCATGCACGAGACGGGGGAGGAGGAGGAGGAGGGGGAGGAGGAGGAGGAGGAGGAGGAGGAGGAGGAGGAGGAGGAGGAAGAGAAGGAGGAGGAGGATCAGTGTAAACTCACGAGTCGTCAACGATATTGGAAGAAGGCCTCCTCCAACCTCCCCCTTCATAGGCACTGGCATCGTTTCAGTTCCAGCGAGGGAGCTGCCTCGTTTGAAGACAACCGTTTGAAGACCCTGCAGCATGCCAGAACATTGTTCCTGGGATACCAACGCCACGGAGTGATCTGACTGTTGCGTCTTGACGATCCGGACTCGCGCCAGAACGCAATTCCTGCGACTTCAACACCGCGAATCAACGTAACTATGGCGCTCCCCAAAACCCTGAAAACTTCCGAAACACAATCACTGGTACGCAGATCATGGAAATCCGTGAAACTCTTGCTATACTTGTACAAAGACTGTGCGCGGCGCTACAGCTAGAACCACAGTTTAAAAAGGAGCCGCCCTCAATGCGCGAAACACTTGCCATTTGTTATAACGAATGTGCGCGGCGCTGAGGCAAGGGCCACATTTTGAAAAAGAGCCGCCCTCCATCAGCGAAGCTGTTGCAAATGCTTAAGCTTCAAAGTCATACATGGTGCGGAAGACTCAAGCGAAACGCCCGGCCCGCCCTACAAACTGGCCTCGGGGCGCGACAGGGAGAAGTGATCTATAAGGGAAAGGAACAGGGGAGGAGGAGGAGGAGGAGGAGGAGGAGGAGGAGGAGGAGCTTTTAGAACCATAACAACAGACCCTTAGGGTCTACGCGACACCCCACCCCCGACGCTTCCCTAGAGGCCTTCTAGATGGGGTCGGAGGATCTCGCCGCATCGCCGATACATCGCCGATGCATCGGCGATGCATCGGCGATGCACTACCGACGTCGGCGATGCATCGGCGACGTCGGCGTGGAGAAAATGGGGGCCCACTTCGAGCCTCATCGCCGATGCATCGGCGATGCGGCACGATCCTCCGACCCGATCTACTCCGATCCCGTTGAGCCTAGACTTAAACCGGGCGTTTCCGTCTACAGGAAGTGTTCAAAAACGGTAAAAACATTCAGGGGACGATTTTCCGATTTCTTAAATATGACAACAGCATTTTTGAATCTGTTTTGGCTATTTCTAAATTTTCCTCCAAAGCCCGCCTGTAGGAGGACATGCCCGACCTTAGCCTCGACCGACGCCTCCCCCAATTAGAGGCCTCCTAGATGGTGTCAGAGTAGATGGGGTCGGAGGATCGCGCAGCATCGCAGATATACATCGGCGGTGTATCGGCGATGCACCGGCAATACATCGTCGACATGGGCGATGCATCGGCGACGTCGACGTGCAACAAATCGGGCTCCACATCGGGCCGCATCGGCGATGCATCGGCGATGCTGCGCGATCCTCCGACCCCATCTGCTCTGACCCCCTCTGGGATGCCTAGAGACTGGGCGAGAAAGAGAAAGGCGAGGGCAGACAGAAGGCCTAGGAGGATGATGATGATGATGATGATGAGGAGGAGGAGGAGGAGGAGGAGGAGGAGGAGGAGGAGGAGGAGGAGGAGGAGGAGGGAGGAGGGGGAGGAGGAGGGGGGGGGAGGGGGAGGAGGAGGAGGAGGAGGAGGGAGGAGGAGGAGGAGGAGGAGGAGAGGAGGAGGAGGAGGGGGAGGGAGGAGGAGGAGGAGGCCTGGAAACCCTCAGGGCCCCACCTGGGATGCCTATAGACCCCTTGCGCGCCGCCGCTCCTCGGCCCCGGCAGGCCGCCCCGGGCCGCCCGCGCCCCCGGCAGGCCGGCTCCTCGCCGCCGCGCGGACGGCGCCGAAGGGGTCCGGCGCGGCCGCGCCCGGGGCGTCGCAGGCCGCCTCCGGCAGGGGACCGGCAGGGGGAGAGCTGTCGACCCCTTTTGGGGGGACAAGGAAAAGGAGCAGAGGAGGGAAGATCTAGAAGGAAAAGGCACAGAGGAGCCCGTAGCCATTTTGGCTCCAGCCTGCCTTGGGCGCCAGGCGGGCGGCAGCGTTGGGTCCCGCGCTTCTCGCCTGCTCAGGGGGAAGCGTTATCCTCTGGCCGCGGCCATGGCCCAGGCGGTGGCTACGGTCCCGCCCCCGCCGGAGGGCGTGCGCAGGCTGCTGGCGGCGATGGCGCCGCTCGTGCAGGCCGCGGCGCATGGGGCAGCGGCTGGAGGCGGCACCCGCCAGGTGGTGGCGGCCGCGGTGGCGGCGGCCATCCGCACGTGCGCGGAGGTGCTGGCTGAAGGCGATAGCGACGACGGCGAGATCGACAAGGAGGTGGCAGTGCGCGAGGAGCTCGCACGGCCGCACCTGCGGCTCCACGTCGCCGCAGGGCGCGATGGGGTGCGGGCCCAGCCCTCTGGGGCCTGCCGCGCATTCCGCCACTGGGCGCTCCACGCGGACTTCGGGGGCGGGGCGGCGGCGGCGCCTGCGACGGCGGTGGAGGCCAAGAGGCGCGTCCGCGGGCAGCGCAAGAGAGGCCGTGGCGGCCTGGAGAGGGACCCGCCGACTGCAGGCACGCAGGAGCTGGAGGGCGGCAGCGGGGACTCCTTTTCCGAGGACGCGTCGATGATGCCGATCGTGCTGAACTGCAAGGCCACGGACGAGCTGAAGGAGAGGTCCTTGCTTAAGCCAGTGGCGAAGCAGATGGGGGAGCCGACGGAAAAGGCCAGCGAGTACGCCCCCGACAGCAAGGCTGAGAAGGTGGGGGTACTGGTCTCGGACATGAGCGTTGGAGACGTGCTGGGCCTGGAGAACACTCGCTTCTGCAAGGGGAAGTTCCAGTACGACCCCGAGAAGCAGGAGGAGCTGAGGAAGCAGGGCGCGCTGGTCGGGGGCACGGTCGACAACAGCGCGGAGGCTTGCACGCAGGACTGGTACATCGTGGAGCTGTCCGTGGAGGTGGGCACGCAGACGGTGGACCAGGTCGAGGGCGCGGGGCAGCAGCAAGGCGTCGGCTCCGTCAAGAGCGACGCTGACCGAGTGCCGCTGCTCGAGCACGCGCGGGAGGTCAAGGTCGATGCGCAGGAGCGGCTGGCTGCGGCAAAAGCGGCCCAGGCGGCAATCCTGAGCGGCGATCTGGCCGAGGGGCTGCGGTTGCTCGAGGCGGCTCAGGTCTTCGGCCAGGCTGAGTGAGGCGTGCAGTTGCATTATGTATGTAGATCTGGTCTCGCCTCGGTGGGGGGGTTGGGCATCTGAGGGGGTTTGGCCCTTCCGCCTGCCCTGGCCCGAAGTGGCCGCCCCGATTTTTCCCTTTTCCCTTTAGCCTTGAAGGCCCCGTCTTTAACTTTAACTAAAAGGCACAGAGGAGGAGGAGGAGGAGGAGGAGGAGGAGGAGGAGGAGGAGGAGGAAGAGGAGGTATTAGAACCAAAACAAGGGGGGGAGATCTCGGCCACATGCGGTAAGAGTGACCCTGGGTAAGAGTGACCCTGGGCAAGACTGACCTTTTGTGCGCGGCTTTTTGGGGGCCGCGGGGGGGCCCAACACAAGCGCGCAAGACGCTACTATCGCATCGCGTTCGGCGATCGGGGGATCCAATTGGGTCCACACCAAAGGTCACTCCGGCGAAAGGTCACTCTTACGTCTAGTCAAAGATCTGTCGACCCCTATAGAGGCCTCCTAGATGGGGCCGGGGGACCGCGCCGCATCGCCGATACATCGGCGATGCATCCGCAGGGGGAGATCTGTCGACCCTCCTCCTCCTCCTCCTCCTCCTCCTCCTCCTCCTCATCATCATCATCATCATCATCATCATCATCATCATCACCATCTCCATCACCATCTTCATCATCAAAATCAGCATCATCATCACCCCCAGAGATCCAACGTATTGGAAAAATCCTGGCGGAGTTTTTCCAGTTTTCGGCCTCCAGGGGGCCCTTACCAGGCCTGTGGGCTGTCAAACAAAAACGCCTCAGGATGAAAAACCGATCCAGCGAATAGGTCGAGACTTCTGGGGATCACGCATTGAAACACTCACGACATCGGATCTCTGGGTCCCAAACTTCGGGAAATGTTCGGATGGACCAGAAGTTCGGGTCCAAACCCTGGGATATACAGTCGACCCGTAATTATCATAGGGGGTCGCGGTGAGGATGCAAGGACCTGGGAGGGCCAAGTTGACGTTTCTCGAACGAGGTTGGCCTACGAAAATCGCCAAGGATGGGCCGAAGGGGCCAGGATGCAAGGGTACCCTTGTGAAGGTTGCCCCTCCTTACTGTGCGGGTTGACTGGCTTCGGGTCGCTTTCGAATGGACCAGATATGTGGGGCTCGGCCCAGGGATAGACGATGGGAGCGGCGCCTATCCTTCGGCGGTGGACGAACCTCCCTTTATCAATCCTCCACTCAGTGAAAAAACGGCCCAGGACCGAAACCGACGGACCTGGACCCGCAAAAACGACGGCCGCGACGCCCCACTTCGCAGATCGACGTGTCGGGGTAGGAGGTCTAGCAGCCTCCGGCTCCGGGGAGGAGGGATACGAGGACAGCAGGGGCAGGACAGGACCAAACAAGAGAGCACCCGCGAGCCCACAGCTCGACGTCTTATGAGGCGAAGTGCGCCAGGAGCCCGTGCGTGGCTAGTTCTGAGGTCGCGCGAACCGAAAAAGGCCCATTCGCGGATCGACGTGTCGGGGTAGGAGGTCCAGCAACCTCCGACTCTGGGGGGGGAGGACTACGAGAACAGCAGGGGCAGGACAGGACCAAACAAGAGCGAGCACCTGCGAGCCATCGGCTCGACGCCTTACGAGGCGAGCTGCGCCAGGAGGCCGTGCGTGGCTAGTTTCTAGGTCGCGCGAACCGAAAAAAAGGGCCAATTCTGACGAACGAACCACACACACACACCCACACCCACACCCACACCCACACCCACACACACACACACACACACACATACCCACAGGGAGGTCGTTGGGAGGAGGACTGGCTATGGGCATGGGTGCGGGTGGTCGGACCCTGGGGAACGCTTCCGCTCGAGCGGGGACCCCCCTCCGACAACACGCACCTATGGCAGAGCTCCCTGGCAGGTGGCTGGCTAGCGAGGGGGGGGCAGCGAGAAGGCGACGGCCCTCTCAGAAGGCCCTGAGATCAGGTCGGGCATGTCCCCCTGCAGGCGGACTTTGGACGAGACAAAGAAGCAGAAGAGATTCAAATATAGTTAAACATACTAGAAAGCTCGTCGCGAGACTATTTTTTGACTATTTTTGAATCGTGCTCCTGTATAACAGGGGATATGTCGACCCCTATCCCAGGCTTCGTGGGGTTTCCGAATGGACCAGAAATTTGGGGCCCAACCCTGGGATATACGATGGGGGGGGTCCATCCTCGATAGGGGTGCGTCCGAATAGCCCCCTTGGAGCGTATCCCAGGGATTGCCCATCTTTCGGAGCGGCCAAACTTTTCGGGCGCAACTCGGGGATTGGGGGAGAAACATCGCCCGCGACTGTAGAGGGACAGGCCCGCCTTCACCCTGCGATCGTGGCGTTGCAGATTTTCCAAGCCCAGCGTTTTGCCTCCCCTCGGGACCCAGGGCCCTCGCAGGTCGATCCGGCTAAAAAATAGAGGAAAAAGACCTATGCACATACACCGATTCTGGCCAGGCCCATCCTGAGCCCAGGATCGGTGCATACGCCCTCCTACCTTGGCCAGGAAGGCATATGCACCGATCCTGGGTCAAGGATGGGCCTTGCCAGGATCGGTGCATGTGCATATTTCTCTTCGCCCGAAAAAAAATGACGCGGCAAGGTGGTGCCCAAGGCCCTGGGCGTGATCATGTTACGATGCCGTTTTTTTTCGCTACGTCGGATCTCGGGGCGCGGCGAGGAACTTCGCAGACAGCCATCGGCCTTCCGAAAGGTGTTTTTTGCTGTGCCGTCCTGGAACATGAGGCACAAAAGCGGCAGAATCATGAACTTTGACGGTGCGCGCGGATTTGGATCTGAGCTGGACCCCCCTCCCTTACGCGCAGAGCGCGTCAGGGGCGGCGCCGGAGTCGCCGACAGGGGTGGCCCAGCACAGGTCCGAGAAATCCGCGCGGAGCGCCAATTGTCGAGGAAGGCTCAGAAAACTTCTCCGAAGGCCCGGGGCCTTCCAAGCCTTCTGAGAAGGCCCGCCCCTTCTCACTTCCCCCCGGGCTGGCCGCCGAATATCCCAGGGGCAACGGTAGTAGGGGGAATGGGCATAGAGGGGGACGCATCGAAGGCCCTATCGCCCATTGATCGTCGATAGGGCCCCTGCAGCCCCACCCTTCTCAAGAACGTGCGGATTCGCAGTCGGAGGCGTCGCCGATCTATCGGCGATCTATCGCCGATTCCAGGTCGAGATATATCCCCGCTGGGCTCGCCGCCGATGTGGACGAGGACGGACCCAGGCCCTCAAGCGTCTTGGCACCTGCAAGGCGGACGTATTTCTTTCGGGCGGGGCCGAACCGACCCCTATGGCAAACCATCATATTCCGGGATTCCACCCTTGCCTTGCAAGCTTCCCTCTGTCCCCCCCCTATCGCTGCCCCTCAGTATCCGTCCAAATCTCGAACGTCATTGACAATGCCACGCGTCGTTTTGGTTTACCGTGTTCAACCGCTGGGGACCTCAAGCGTCTTGGCGACTTCAAGGCGGCTGATGTTTTTTGTTCGGGCGCGATCGAACCGAACCCTACATAGCAAGCGGTCTCCCCCCCATGACGTCGCCCTCGCCTCTCAAGCTTCCCTCTGGCCGATACACATACGTCTTGCGCGGCCTGACCGACCCCTGGAGCCTTTCGAGCCTTTCGAGCGCGGCCCAATGGTCTCCGAGAGACCGTGGCCGTGGCGGGCTCTGCCGCAGCGGCAGCGCGCGGCGCGCCGGCCGCGGCTGCAAACGGAGGCCCCCTGGAACGGCCTCCAGAGGCCAAGGCAAGAAAAGCGAAGGCCGAGGAGGCCCAGCGACGGCCCAAGGGGCACCAGGTCCCGAGGGCCGAGGACCCCTGGAGCACACCCTCCCCTCGTCTCGGGGCGAGGCGAGGGGGACGCCACGGGGGGGGATGCCCTGCTGGGGGTCGGGCGAGGCCGCCCCTGCTGTCTCATTGTCTGCGGCCTCCGCGGGGCCCTTGCCCTTGGCTGGTGCCCGGGGCCGCCAGGCCACCAGTGCACAGGGCAGTTTCTAACGCATCGGATTTTTGTAACATGTAGGATGTTTAATACATGATTCATATATGAATGAACGTATGCATGGACCCGTCGCTGTTTTAAATACTACATCCCTGCATATCTAATACAGGATCCGCACGCGGAGCATGTATAAAAAACGGCCCTGTACCTCGATTGTCTACAAACCTCTGGATCGATACAGACCGCAAAACAACCCGGGGGGAAGGGTGGGGACTTCCGGGGGCCGCGTATCGGGAAGACGTAAGACTCGGGTTCGGGGGGCGCGGGTTGCCCTGCCGTGGCCATCATGAAAATGACCAGACCCGATCTGAAATTTAGCCCGACCTCCTGCTGCAAACATCCCACGAACACCGAACCGTCAGAATCAGGACGGTGTGACTGTAGCTACACTTTCGAAGTCCGCGCAGACTTCTCGGACCAGCGCTGAGGCCCACTCGAGGCGCGAGGGCAGGCCAGGGGCGACGCTGGAGTCGCCGCCAGGGGGGCCCCAAGGGCCGATCCAAGAAGTCCGTGCCGACCTCAGGAAGCGTCCCGACGCCCGACGATGTGATGTTTTTGTCTTCGACATTTTCCGATCACTCCTCCTCCTCCTCCTCCTCCTCCTCTTCTTCTACCTCTTGTGCTTTATCTGGCTGCTCGCGGCATTTGCCTTGATCCCGCGTCGAGCTTGCTAGACGCATGCTTTTGCCCACGCGCCCACTGGCGTATACTTGTTCGTTCGTTCGTTCGGCCCCGAAGGCGGAACAGAAGGAGAACGGCTGGGAAGAAGTGGTCATGGCCCGACGTCGCAAACCCCCCGCCGCCCACGAGGGCCCCCAGAAGTTGAGCACCGTAAGCCAAAACGACGCGTGGCACTGTCCATGGCGTTCGAGATCTGGACGGATACTGAGGGGCAGCGATAGGGGGGGGGGCCAGAGGGAAGCTTGAGAGGCGAGGGTGGCATCCCAAGAGGTAACGGCTTGCCATAGGGGTCGGTTCGGCCGCGCCCGAGAAAAGAGGTCCGCCTTGCAGGTGCCAAGACGCTTGAGGGCCTGGGTCCGTCCTCGCCCACATCGGCGGCGAGCCCAGCGGGGGAACGAGAAAGCGGCGGGCCTCGTCAGAAGAGTAGGGGGATTGGCATAGGAGGGGAAACATCGGCCTGGAGTCGGCGATATATCGCCGATAGATCGGCGATATGCCCACGAGAGCGAATCCGCACGTTCTTGGGCAGCGTGGGGCTATCGGGACCCTATCGACGATCAGTGGACGATATGGGGATCGATGCGTCCCCCCCATACGCCTATCCCCCCACTATCGTTGCCCCTGAGGTATTCTGCGGCGAGCCCGGGGGGAACTGAGAAAGGGCGGGCCTTGTCAGAAGGATATGGGGACCGGCTGAGGAGGGGAAACGTCGACCTGAAATTGGCGATGCATCGCCGATCGATCGGCGATCTGCCCAGGATACAGAATCCGCACGTGCTTGGGCAGGGTGGGGCTATCGGGACCCTATCGACGATCAGTCGGGGATTGGCGGGTCGATGCATCCCCCCCCCATGCCTATCCCCCCGTTATCGTTGCCCTTGAGGTATTCGGCGGCACAAAGAGAACATGTCATAAAGCCGGAGTGCTGCGGAACGTCTGAGAAGACCCGCTGCCCTTCTGAAAGGGCCATCTCCTTATCACTTCCCCCCTCGCTCGCCGCCGACCATCGATCGCCATCGATCGCCATTCCCCGTACAGTCGCCGACTTCGTGCGCTTCGAATTTTGCAACATGGGCCAAGATGCTGCTCGATGGTCCTCGCCAAGAAGAAAACGCACACGCCCAGGCGATGCCAAAATGGTTGCCCCTGAGGTGCCCTGAGAGCCGACATTGCGACAAAAATGCAAAAACAAATCGCAACGTCGCCAAAAATCACGACTGCAGCCCGGGACCATCCTTCTGCACCGCTGTTCTCGAGCCGGACCGATCTGTGAGGGTCCCAGGGCCCGAAACGGGGCGAAAACGCCCGTTGTGTATAAAATGCGTCGCTCGGACCTCAAGGCAACACGGAAGGAGGGGGAGAAGGGGGGGAGGGGGGAAGGGGGAGGGGGAGAGAGGGAGAGGAGGGGGAGGAGAGGAGGGGGGAGGAAAGAGGGGGGGGGGGGCTGGGGGGGGGGGGAGGGGGAAAGGACGAGGCTCTCAGGCGGGCCTCGGGCGCCAGAGCCTGGCCGGGGCCGCCCAGAGGGCCACCGAGGGCCCTCTTGGCGGCCGCGCCGAGGGCGCCGCCGCCGGCGTGCCCGCAGGCCACCTGGGGCGGTGCTCCAGGAGCTGCTCCTCCGCCCTCCCTCCCTCCTCCCATCCCTCCTCCTCCTCCTCCTCCTCCTCCTCCTCCTCCTCCCTCCTCCTCCTCCTCCTCCTCCCCCTCCTTCGTCTCCTCCTCCTCCCCCTCCTTCGTCCTTCCCCTCCTTCGTCCTCCTCCTCCTCCTCCTCCTCCTCCTCTCCTTCTCCTCCTTGTCCTCCTCCTCCTCCCTCCCTCCTCCTCCTCCTTCCTCCCTCCCTCCTTCCCTCTCTCCGTCCTCCTACTGCCCAGCCTCTTCCTTCCTCTTCCTCCTTTCCACTCCCTCCCATCCTCCTTCCTCCTCCTCCTCCTCCTCCTCCTCTCCTCCTCCTCCTCCTCCCCCCCCAGCCTCTTCCTTCTCTTCCCCTTCCCCTTCCTCCCGCTTCCTCCCCTCCTCCTTCTCCGCCTCACCCCAGCATCATCCTTCCATGTTCTCCTTCCTGTCCTCCCTCTCCTCCTCCCTCGTCCTCCGTCCCGCTCCTCCTCCTCCTCCTCCTCCTCCTCCTCGGTCCTCCTCCTCCTCCACCTCCTCCTTCTCCTCCTCCTCCTGCTTTTCCTCCTTCCCTCCTCTCCCTCTCCCCAGAAGTGGCTCCTGACAAAAACGCGAGGGCAGATTCCGCCGTGGCTACTGGTAACTCACAATGGAGTACCCCAACAAGGGCGAAAAAGGTCATTCACAAACCATCCAGCCTCGAACTTTGCACCTCCTCCTACTCCTCGTCAGACTCCTCCTTCTTCTCCTCCTCCCCCTACTACAACTACTACTACACTACTACTACTACTACTACTACTACTACTACTACTACTACTACTACTACTACTACTACTACTACTACTACTACTACTACTACTACTACTACTACTACTACTACTACTACTACTACTACTACTACTACTACTACTACTACTACTACTACTACTACTACTAACTAACTACTACTACTACTACTACTACTACTACTACTACTACTACTACTACTACTACTACTACTACTACTACTACTACTACTACTACTACTGCTACTACGACGGCGACTGCTACTTCTACGACTGCGACGACGACTATGTCCACTTCTCTTACTACAACTACGACTATCACTGCAAGGTCAACGACTACTACTACTACTACTGCTACTACTACTACGACGACGACTACTACTACGACTACGACTACGACAACTACATCCACTACTACTCCTACTGCTTCTACTACTAGTACTGATGCTACTACTACTACTACTACTACTACTACTACTACTACTGCTACTGCTACTACTACTACTACTACTACTACTACTACTACTACGACGACGACGACTACTACTACTACTAGAACGACGGCTACTACTTCTACTACTATGCTACCTCTACTGTCACTACTGCTACTACTATGGGAACGGCTACAGCAACTACAAGTACAACAACTACTACTACTACTGCTACTACTGCTGCTTCTACTTTTACCACTACTAGTATCACTACTAGTGCTGCTACTACTACTACTACTACTCCTACTACTACTACTACCACGGCTACTGCTGCTACTTCTACAACGACTACGACGACGACTGCTACAACTACTACTACTACGACTACTACTACTACTGCTGCTACTACCTCTTTTTCTTCTACTACTGCGACTACTACTACTTATACTACTTGTACTACTACCACTACTACTACTACTGCTACTACGCCTACTACTACTACTACTACTACTACTACTACTACTACTGGTACTACTACTACTACTACTACCACGACTGCCACTACTACTACGACTAGTGCGACTACTACTTATACCCCTACTACCACTACTACTGCGACGACTCCTACGACTACTCCCTACTACTACTAGTACTAGTACTACTACTACTACTACCACTACTACGTCTACCACTACTACTACTGCTACTACTACTACTGCTACTACTACTACTACTACTACCACTACTACTACTACTACTACGACTACTCCTACCACCACTACTGCTGCTACTACTACTACTAATACCACTACTGCAACTACTACTTCTACAACGACAACCACGACTACCACTACTACCACTACTACTACTACTACTACTACTACTACTACTACTACTACTACTACTACTACTACTACTACTACTACTACTACTACTTTACTATACTACTACTACTACTACTACTACTTTTACGACTACTACTGCTACTACTGCTACTACTACTACTACTACTTATACTACGAACCACGACCACTACTATGACTAACGACTACCACTTGTACGGCGATTACTGCGACTACCACGACAATTCCGGCTACGACGACAATTACTACTACCACTATCTACCCTTCCACCCTACTACTACTAACTACAACTACTTACTTTGTAGACTGCACTACTACTACTACTGCTTGCTCTGCTGCTACTACTACTACTACCTACTGCAACTACAACTACTACAACACTTACTACTGCGACTACTAGTGCGATCACGACTACGGCTTAACGACGTCGACTACTACTACTACTACTGCGACTACTACTTCTACTACTAGTACTACTACTACTACGACGACGACTACTACTACTACTACGACAACGTTGACTGATGCTTCGGCTGCTACGCTAACGACTACTACGTCTACGCCTACGACTACTACTGCTACTACTACTACTACTACTACTACTACTACTACTACTACTACTACTACTACTATTACTACTACTACTACTACTAATACTACTACCACTACCTCTACTTCTACTGCTACTACCTACTACCACCACTACTTCTGGTACTACTACTACTACTACTACTACTACGACGACGACGACGACGACGACTACTACGACTACTACTACGACTCTTTGTGGGCGTTGCGCGAATTTAGACCTCCTCCCCTTCCGTCTCCTCCTCGTCCCTGCCTCTCTTCCGACAACAACCGACACCGGCCGAGCCTGGCAACGAGACCGAACCCGACCGCCGAAGCCGACGGACCGAGAGCAGCCTGAACGGACGCAGCGGCGCGCAGTTATTTGGACCATCGTAAGCCGACCGAACGCGGCTTGCTGCGACGCAGCCGAAACGACCGAAACAGGGGCACCCTTTACGGGCAGGTCCGTGGCGCGAGGACACATGCGATGGCTTCTGACAGCGCGTGGACCGTTCAGCATTGAAAGATCAAAGGGGGGGGGAGAGGAGGAGGAGGAGGAGGAGGAGGAAGTAGGAGGAGGAGGAGGCAGGAGTGAGGAGGGGGAGGCGGAGGGAGAGGAGAGGGGGTGGATGAGGAGGAGGGGGGGGGAGGAGGATTGGGAGGAGGAGAGGGAGGAGGAGAAGGGGGGGGACGAAGTGGAAGGGGGAGGGAGAGGAGGAGGTGGAAGAGGAGAAGGAGGAGGAGGATAATGGGGGAGAGGGAGGGGATGAAGCGGAGGAGGAGGAGGAGGAGGAGGAGGAGGAGGACCACTGTACACCAAAGAGTCATCACCGATGTTCGAATAAACCCTCCTTCCTAACTCCCTCTTCACAGACTCACTCCTGCAACGGTTCATCTCCGCTGAGGGAACTTCCTCGTCGGAAGACGACCGTTAGAAAATCCTGAAGCATGCCAAAACATGGTTCTCGGGATTCCAATGCCACGGATCAACCTAACTGTTGTGTCTTGGCGATCCTGAATCGTGCCAAAACGCCAGTCCTGGGACGTCAACACCGCAGATAACGAAATCGTTGCACCTGCACGGTCCTGAAATGTTGCGAAACACAAAATTCTGGTACGCTGATCATGAGAATCCGTGAAACTCCCTCGTCACTTGTATAAACGGGTGTGCTCGGCGCTAAGGCGAGAACCACATGTTGAAAAAGAGCCACCCTCAATCCGTGAAGCTCTTGCAAATGTGGAGATACAACGGTTGCACGCAGCGCTGAAACGATAACCACATTTTGACAACAAATCGCCATCAAACCGAGGGCTCTTGCAAATTGGCACTACGAATGTGCGCGGCGCTAACGCGAGAACCACATGTTGAAACGGTTCCGCCCTCAATCCGTGAAGCTCTTGCAGTTTGTTGTAACGAATGCGCGCGGCGCTAAGGCGAGAGACAGAATTTGAAAAGGTGCCGCCCTCAATCCGTGAAGCTCCTGCAAATGTTCAAAACGAGTGTGCATGGCGCTCAGGGGAGAGCCACATTTTGAAACCCACCCGCCCTCCATCTGTGAAGCTCTTTCGAATGTTTAAGCTTCAGGGAAGTGGTGAGGAAGTCTCAGGCGAAACGCCCCGCCCGCCCTACACACTCGCCTCGAGGTGTGACAGGGACAAGTTCTTCATAAGGGGAAGGAATGGAGGTGGAGGAGGAGGAGGAGGAGGAGGACCAGGGCAAGAGGGGAGGAGGGACATGCAGAGGAGGAGCAGGAGAGGGAGGGCCTTCCACATCGCCCTGTCCTGGCCACTGGCGGCGGCGCCCACCCTCGTCGAACGCCCGCGCCTTTCGGGCCGCCGCACTGCGCGCCGACACGGCGCGAGCCCGCCGTGCTTTGTCCGAGCGGGGCGCGGGCCGAGACGCCCGACGAGACGGTCCACCCGCACGGCGAGGGCGTACGACACGGATGCGGGGGCCTCGGGAGGTCACGTCGGCGCTTTCTGCGAGCGAGGCGCGGCCGGCGAGAGCGGCCAGGGATGGGGCCGAAGGGGAAGCACGCAAGGGCAACCTTGGGAAGTCGCTCATCCTTACTATTAGGTCGGGCGTGTCGTACAGGCGGATTTTGGACAGAAGCCAAAGAATACCTGAAACAGATTCCAAACCAGCTAAAGATGCAAAACACAACAGTTTTGAAAATTCCCCCTGTAGAGGGACACGCCCGACTTAAGGGCAACCTTGGGGAGCCGCTCATCCTTGCTGTGCGGAATGACGATCCGACATGCTCCGTGCGCTGCCCCAAGAAGTCGAGCAGAGGATCGACTACAGACTTGATTGACCCCCTGCAGCGTGGCAAGGCCTCCGACCCAGATCTACTTTTGAAGCCGACGCCAAGGCGAGGTTTACATCGGGTGAGGGGCACTCGAGAATCTCTGAGATACGACGGCTTCGGAAGATGCATCGGGCGCCGCGGCCGTTTCAGAGCGTTCCGGAACGCTCTGAGAGCGTACCGGAACGCTCTGGAACGGATTTGTCCTCGTCTTAAACGAGCACAATTTTCGAAAAATGGTCCAGGAGCCGGGTGGCAGGCCCTGGAGACCGACATCGAAGCAACACGCCTGGATCGAAAACAGGCTGCCGTCGGAGGCCCAGGGGTGCGGCTGCTCCGGCCGGCCCGCCTGGTGCTTCGGCCAGTCGGCCCGTTGGCAGGAGCTGCTGCAGTACCTCCGCAGCCTGCACCGGCTGCAGTGGAACCGCGCCTGGGGCGGGCCCCCCCCCCGTCGGGCCCCGTGCCGACGGCGACGGCGACGGCGACGGCGACGGCGACGACGACGTCGTCGAAGGTGACGACGACGAGGGGCCACTCATGACCAGGAGGAGGTCCCGAGAGGGCGAACACGGCGAGACGAGCACACGACATCGTCCCCTCCTGCCGGCGGGGCGCACAGGGGGGCGCCGCGGAGGGGGGCGGCCTCCCGAGGAGGCGGGGGTCCTCTTGGAAGGCTCCTCCTCCTCCTCCTCCTCCTCCGCCTCCTCGTCTCCTCCTCCTCCTCCCTCCTCCTCCTCCTCCTCTCCTCCTTGGAAGGCTCTTCCTCCTCCTCCCTCCTCCTCCTCCTCCTCCTCCTCCTCCTCCTCCTCTCTCCTCCTCCTCCTCCTCCTCCTCTCCTCCTCCTCCTACTCCTTCTCCTCCCCCGGCCTCCCCCGCCTCCTCCTCCTCCGCCTCCATCCGCCTCCTCCTCCTCCTCCTCCCCTCTTCCTCCCTCCGCCTCCTCCTCCTCTTCCTCCTCCTCCTCCTCCTCCTCCTTCTCTTCCTCCTCACTCCTCACTCCTCACTCGAAATCCGGGAGGGGCGCTAAGCCAGGAACCCCCCCTGCTTTCCAACGAGCACCCTCCCCCTGCAGAGAAGGCCAACCCCTGTGGCAGTACTCCCTTGTGCGCGGCGCCACTTGCGTCCTGAGATCAAGCGTCACGAAAATTAGCCTGGCGAAGGAACCAACCATATGCAGTTGTGAACAACGCAACTGTGGGTATCGCCTTCGGTGAAGCTCCCTTTGGGGCACGAAACGCTGTGCTGAGTGGGGGGACGTATGTGGACACCGCCACTGGGGCCTTAGGTTGAGCTCCCTACTTGGGGCCACGCAGCGCTGTACTGGGTGGGGGGGACGCATGTGGACACCGCCACTGGGGCCCTCGGTGGAGCTCCCCATGGGGCCACGCAACGATGTGATGGGTCGAGGGACGCATGTGGACACCGCCACTGGGGCCTTCGGTGGAGCTCCCTATGGGGCCACGAAACGCTGTGCTGGGCGGGGGAACACATGTGGACACCGCCACTGGGGCCTCAGGTGGAGCTCCCTTTGGGGCCACGCAACGCTGTGCTGGGTGGGGCAGACGCATGAGGACACCGCCACTGGGCCTTAGGTTGGGCTGCGTATGGGGCCACGAAGCGCTGTGCTGTGTGGGGGAGACGCATGTGGACGTGGACACCGCCACTGGAGCCTTAGGTTGAACTCCGTATGGGGCCACGCAACGCTGTGCTGGGCGAGGGAGGCACATGTGGACACCGCCACTGGGGCCTTCGGTGGGGCTCAGCGCTGTGCTGGGTGGGGGGGACGCATGTGGACACCGCCACTGGGGCCTCAGGTTGAGCTCCCTTTGGGGCCACGCAGCGCTGTAGTGGGTGGGGGAGACGCATGTGGATACCGCCACTGGCCCTTAGGTTGAGCTCCCCATGGGGCCACGAAGCGCTGTGCTGTGTGGGGGAGACGCATGTGGACACCGCCACTGGAGCCTTAGTTCGACCTCCCTATGGGGCCACGCAACGCTGTGCTGGGCGGGGGGGCACATGTGGACACCGCCACTGGGGCCTTCGGTGGGGCTCAGCGTTGTGCTGGGTGGGGAGACGCATGTGGACACCGCCACTGGGGCCTTTGGTGGGCTCTTTGAGGCCACGCAACGCTGTGCTGGGTGCGGGAGACACATGTGGACACCGCCACTGGGGCCTCAGGTGGAGCTCAGTATGGGGCAACTTAACGATGTGCTTGGTGGGGGGAACGCATGCGAACACCGCCACTGGGGCCTAAGGTGAGCTCCAGCTCCCTATAGGGCCACGAAACGTGCGAGTGGTGTGCCAAAGTGGGGGGGGGGTCATGCGAATCATGCCACTAGGGCCTTTGGTGGAGCTCCCTTTGGGGCCCCGAAGCGAGTGAGGGGTGTGCCTCCCTCCTGCGCTGCTCGTCGTCGTCGAGCTCCAGAACACATGGTTAGAGGTGCCAGCAGCTGGCAGGAGCCACTGGGGAGTGGGCGCAGCGTGCTGGCCCCCCACCCTCGGTCTGCATTCTGACCCCTTTTTTTTTGCCGTCCACGGCAATGTCTCAGGAATGATCTGAACCTGACAGAGCGAGACACCCCTGGCAGGTTTAAACGGGGCTCAGTCCGAATCGCTCCTCCTCTTTCCCTTCCCCTTCCCCTCGCTGAGCCACTCTCCGCTCCCCCTCTTCCCCTTCCCCTTCCCCAATCCGCCAGGGAGGCGCGTGCAGCCGCTGGGCCCGCACGCTGCCTCGCTGGGCTGGGGTCCCGGGGAAAAGATCCTCCGTGAGCGTGGAGTCCGACGCTGGGGCAAAAAGCCGCGCCCTGTGGGCGACCCCTCGGCCCGGGCCGAGTCGCTGGCAGCGCCACGGAGCCTATAAACAAATTGTGCTGCGTTCGCCTGCCTGCCGGCGGACGCCCGGCAGCTCGACATGCCGGCGCCGCGTCAAGGAGAAGGCATGCGAATCATGCCACTGGGGGCTTTGGTGGAGCTCCCGCACGGGGCCACGAAACGTATGAGGGGTGTTCCCAAATGGAGGGGGGTCATGCGAATCATGCCACTGGGGCCTTCGGTGGAACTCCCTCTGGGGCCACTGAACGTGTGAGTGGCGTGCCAAAGTGGAGGGGGGCGGCATGCGGATCATGTCGCTGGAGCCTTCGGAGGAGCTCCTCATGCGGCCACGAGACGTGCGAGTGGTGTGCCAAAAAGGAGATGGGGCGGCATGCGAATCATGTCACCGGGGCCTTCGGTGGATCTCCCGTATGGGGCCACGAACCGTGTGGGGTGTGCCAAAATGGAGTGGGGGGGCATGCATCTCATTCCACTGGCGCCTTCGGTGGAACTCCCTTGTGGGGTCACGAAACGTGTGCGTGGTGTGCCAAAGTGGAGGGGGGCGGCATGCGAATCATGCCACTGGGGCCGACGGTGGAGCTCCTGTACGGGGCCACGAAACGTGCGAGGGGTGTGCGAAGGTGGAGGGGCTGCGGCATGCGAATCATGCCACTGGGGCCTTCGGTGTAGCTCCCTTTGGGGCCACGAATCGTGTGAAGGGTGTGCCAAAGTGAAGGGGGGTGACGGGAGGAGGGAGGAGGTGGAGGAGGAGGAGGAGGAGGAGAAGGAGGAGGAGGAGGAGGAGAGGAGGAGGAGGAGGAGGAGGAGGAGGAGGAGGAGGAGGAGGAGGAGGAGGAGGAGGAGGAGGAGGAGGAGGAGGAGAGAGGAGGTGGAGACGCGGGGTCTCTCTCTCTCTCTCTCTCTCTCTCTCTCTCTCTCTCTCTCTTCAAAACGAGGACCCAGCTCAACACAGGATGGCTGGGAAAAAAAGAAACATCGTAGAAATCACGACGGGAGCCTTGACCGCATCGTTCTGCGGCGTTTTTCGAGCCGGATCGATTCATGATGGTCCTAGGGCCGGAGACCATGAAAACCGCCCTGTGCGAACAAAATGCATCGCCAGCATCTCAGGGTTTGCCTCCCAGCAAAAAAAAGTCCCCGTGCCTTCTTCCCACAAACCGCGCACAGGTCGAAACACGGATCCGTCGGGGCGAACACGGCAAGGCTGGCGACGGGGTTCTCCGCGTCGTCCCAGCTGCAGTGGCGGAAGTGCACGTCCAGCCCCTGCACCTCCGCAGGCGAGGGGCCCGTCTTGGGGCAGGATCAGTCAGCACCGGATCTGGACACCGGACAGAAGGAAAGACGAAGCCGGGACCGGGACAGCAGCGGACCCGCATGAACGGTGATTTCTGAGATCCTGCAGATCTGGAGGAATGTATCGGGCGCCGCGGCCGTTCCAGAGCGCTACAGAACGCTATGAGAGCGTTCAGGGACGCTCTGGGACGGAGTCTATCTCGGCACGGAGTCGGGATCCAATCCGGATCGGCTGCTCCAGCATGCGCAGCCATGGGAAATCCGGTCCGCATCGGCTGGCCCAGCAATCGACATCGAAGCGGGTCGGTCGAAGCGAAGCCTGGGGGCGGCACAGCGGGTGAGATCCGTGCGATTTTTTGCTTGCATATTGCGAGGCTTCCAAGTATAGGGCTCTGGATTCGGCCTCTGAAGCCATGGATCCCTGTTTTAAGCCCGCTCGGCGCCTGAGCCCGTTCGGCCGCCGCGCGGACTGAAGCTCGAGCCCGTTCGGCGGCCGACCGGGCTCTCCGTTCCCACGGCCCTGTCGAAACTAAGCCCGTTCGGCTGTTCGGTCCGCTCGGCTGCCCTGTCGGCGGCCGAACGGGCTCAGGCGTCGAACGGGCTCGGAGGGAAGCCCGGGGGAAGCTGCGTGTTCTTCCTGCTGTGCTGCTGGCGACGAGGGCCATGCGGCTGGCGATTGGCGGCGGTGGCGGCGAGGGGGACTGCACTGACGGCGGACTACGAGAACGAGGAAGATGGCGGCTCACCGAAGACGACGCCAACGGCAGCAGCGGTGAATGTCAACGACGCCGACGGGCTCAGAAGGGAACCCTGGGGCTCCAGAGGCCTCTGGGTGCATCGGGGGACCAACGCGGTCAAAACGGAAAGTAAGGATGCGCGATGAGGATGCAGGGGCCTTGGACGTCCACGACGAAGCTTTCTGAGCGGGGCCCCATCGAAAGATGTTAAGGATGGACCGAGGAGGCACGGATGCAAGGGTACCCTTGGGAAGGTTACCCGTCGGTCGGAAGAAGTGGGTAAACACATGAAGTCGGAAGGCGGATCCAACAGACTGGGCCTAGGCCCCGGGCACGACAAAACACGGCACGAGCGCACCGACTCGTGGTGTGGGAAAGCGCACACACCCCGTGGGCTGGGGCCCGGGCCGCACGCCAACATCCAACCGATGGACATCTTGCCGTCGCTCGGACGTCCATGTCCCGTGCATGTTTCGGTTTCGTGCGTGTTTTTTCTGCTCGACGGTCCAGGATGGTCCCCGATGGTTCTCGCCGAGAAAAAATGCACACGACATGGCATCGGATCGACACGTGTCGGTGGTTCAACGCTGGGGGCCCTGGGAAGCGGGGAATCCTACGGTCGTGCCGAAGCCTTCGGGGTCGAGGTCTTCGGGCGTCTCCATCGCTTCCTGGCGGCGGGGGATGCGCTCCGGCGGCCGAGGGCGTTCTGGGGGTGCCCAGATCGTCCCGAACGGCTACCAGGGAGCCGAGTTAGGACCCCCAAAGCCAAGTGATCCAATGGTCCTAAGGACGAGGTGCCTCTAACAGTGGTCCTAAGGACGAGGTACCTCTAACAGTGCGAGTCCACCCCTGCACACCTTCCTGTCCTCAGGGCACCCACTCCCCGGGTCCCTGTCTTTGAGCAAGCGATCTTGCATCGAACATGGCCGCAACGGCACGGAGTCAGAATCGAATCGGATCGGCTGCGCCAAAATGTGCAACCACGCCATGCAGGCATCGGGCCGCATCGGATCGTCGGAGCATCGGAGTCGAATCGGATCGAGTCGGCTAGCATCGTTGTCGAATCGGATCGATCGGATCGAGATGGGCCCAGCACAGGTGATCCAGGTACACTGCCAGAGCCCTTCCCTGGAACCTCGCGCAAAACACCAGCCAGCCGCCCTGACCCTACCATTAGCCTCCCTCTGAGCAGACCCCTCGACTGAGGCGGGAATGATTGGTCTATCAGACCTTCTGCTTGCCGCTGCACTGAGTGCCCTCGCTCCGTGCGCTCCGAGGCCTCGCAACAACTGAAAACGACGTGGTCCGATGCCGCCTGATGCCGTCTTGCCTCTCGCTTCCCCCCCTTCCATCCCTCGTCCCTCGGGGCCAGAATACAGACATCGAACTAGGCTCGGACCCCGAGAAGCTGGGGCGTCAGTGCAGCTGCGCTCAGCGACGCTCGCCGTCGCGCCGGCAGAATGCAGCCTCGAGCATCGCGCCAGGAGCGTCGCGTCAGCGGCCACGCCAGCGCCAGCCGTCGGGCAAAAAGGCACACGGACCTCTCCATCGAAGCCTTCCCGCGGTCTCCCTCCACCTCTCTTCACTGCTGGTCGTTGCTTCCCTTGGCCTCGGCTCTCGGGGGAAGGACTCCCACGTCCCCTGGTCGGCAACCAGGGTGCTGGGATGCCGCGCCCGACCGACCTCCCCACTCCCTCCTGCTGCTGGCCCCCTCGTCCTCGTCCTCCCCGTCGGCCCACTTCTACTCATCGTCGTCGTCTTCGCTCTTCTTCTTCTGCTTCTCCTCCTCGCCCTCGTCATCGTGCCTCGTCACCGTCGTCGTCGTCGTCGTCGTCGTCGTCGTCGTCATCGTGGTCCTCGCTCTCGTCCTCGTCCTCCGCCTTCTCCTCTTCCTCCTCCTCGAGCCTCGTCGTCCTCCCCCACTCCGCCTCCTCCTCCTCCTCCTCCTCCTGAGCGGAGAGGGGTTGGCCTCGTAGCTGATTTGCACCGGCATCCGGTTGCCCCCGAAGCGGTCCGAGGGCTCCCCCAGGCGGGTCACGACGCTCCTGGACTTCTCCTTCCTGACTTCCTGATGCCTCTCCTCCTTCTCCCCCAGCACCCTTCCTCTCCATCGTCTTCTCTCCTCCTTCTCCTCCTCCTCCTCCTGCTCCTCCTCCTGCTCCTCCTCCTCCTCCTGCACCCTCCTCCTCCATCATCATCCTTTTCCTCCTGCACCATGTTCCTCCACCGTCCACTCCTCCACTGCCCCCCCCCCACCTTTTCTCGTCCCTCGCCCCCCCCCCCCTCGCTCTGCCCCCCCCCCCCACGCCCACCCAAGTCCCCTATATTTCCTCACCTCCTCCTCCTCCTCCTCCTTCTCCCTTTCCTCATGCTCGTCCTTGCCCTCCGCGCCGTCCCCCTCTCCACACTGGCTCATCATCCTCCTCCTCCACCTCCTCATCCTCCTCCTCCACCTCCTCCTCTTCCTACTCCTCCTCCACCTCCTCCTCTTCCTGCTCCTCCTCCTCCTCGCTCCTCCTCGCTCCTCCTCTTCAGTCCTCATCCCCCTCCTGCGCCTCCTTTTCCTCTTTCTCCTCCACCATCCTTTCCCCGCCACCCCCCTCCTGACCAGCCGCCAAGGAGGGCTCCGCATCCGAAGGCTCCTAACCCCATGACAAAAAACGAGAATGCCAACCACACAGCATCGTGTCGATGCAGGCCTCCTGCTCACGCCGCCGACGTTTTTTCTCTCCCCCCTCGGCCTCCCTCCTCTCGGAGGGGGCAAAAGGGGTGGACAGCCAAACTGCGGGCATTGCCCGTGTTTGCTGGGGACGCCCACGTCGCCGCGCCAGAACTAGCTCGTGACAAAGGCGGAACCCTGAACCCCCGAAGTGCCCCTGGCTCGGGGACGCACTGACCCAGGTCAGTGCAAACCCGGGTCAACCAGGCCTTGCAGGATCCTGCAAGACCCTGCAGGATCCTGCAGGTCCCTGCGCGCAGGCCCAGGTCTCTGCGCCCCTGGCTCTGCAGGATCCTGTAGGATCTGGCGCTCTGCCTGCGGCACTGGCCCGCGTCTCGAGGCTCCCGGCTCGCCTGGACGGCTTCCCTCTCCTTGCCGTCGCTCGGACGTCCATGTCCCGTGCATTTTTCGATTTCGTGCGTGTTTTGGTTGCTCGATGGTCCAGGATGGTCCTCGAAGGTTCTCGCCGAGAAAAAATGCACACGTCCGAGCGATGCCAAATCTCTGGCTGTGGCAGCAGAAGGCATCCAGCAGCGCGTGGTAAACCCACTAGGGAAGCACTGGACTGCTCCCCGGGGCCACTCCTGGCGGGTGTGCCCATGTCGGCGGGTGTGCCCACCGAAACGTTTCACGGAACATACAAACAACGGCATCCTCGCCATCGACGGCGAAGACGCCGTCGTGTCACGCCGCCTGTGGCGCCCTGGTGCCAGCGCCGGCTGTGAATTTTGGGCCAAGGAAGGATGAGGAACAAGGGAAGAAAAGGAGAAATAAGAGGATGAGAGAGAGAACGAGGAACATGAGGAGGAGAAGGAGCAGGGGGATAGAGATGAGGCACAAATAAATGAAGGCGATTTGGGGACGGATCAGCAGCAGACAAACCCAACCGAGATGCTAGGAAGGATGATGATGTTGCTGCTGACGCTGCTGCTGATGATGATGATGATGGTGGTGATGATGAGGATGAGGATGATGATGATGCTGATGCTGATGCTGATGCTGATGCTGGTGCTGATGGTGATGGTGATGATGATGATAATGATGATGAAGATGATGATGATACTGGTGCTGATGGTGATGATGATGATGAGGAAGGGCGAGGGAGGAGACCAGCAGGAGAGGTGGCGCAGGGATAATGATGATGCTGCTGATGATGAGGGACATGATGACGGTGAGGTTGCCGACTCTGATGAGGAAGATTAGGATGATGATGATGATGATGATGATGATGATGATGATGATGATGATGATGATATTGATGATTATTGTATTAAGCATGATGACGATGACGATGATACCGATGATGGTGGTGGTGATTCTGATGGTGGCGGTGATCATTGATGGGTGAAGCAGGCAGGGAAGAGAGGAGCAGGAGGGTACATCATCTAACGATAAGAGAAATGGTGGAGAGGATGATGACGATGATCAGAAGGAGGATGCGGAATGATGATGATGATGATGCTGATGATGATGATGATGATGATGATGATGATCCTGATGATGATGATGATGATGATGATGATGATGATGATGATGATGATGATGATGATGATGATGATGATGATGATGATGATGATGATGATGATGAGTAGTCTGAGGAGCAGGAGGGACACGGAGCGAGGATGCTATAAGACACATATGTGGACCACATTCCTTCGTCTTGCTTCATGAATTCTACGGGAAGGAGGAGGATTAGAGGAGGAGGAAGAGGATGAGGAAGAGGCGCAGACCGTTGCTCCCCCTGCAAGGCACATGCCGTGCAGTGGGTCCAGATCCAGAGGAGGAGGAGGAAGAGGGGGAGGAGGAGGAGGAGGAGGAGGAGGAGGAGGAGGAGGAGGAGGAGAATGAGGAGGGGGAGAAGGAGGAGGAAAAGGGAGGGAAGACAGAAGAAAACTGATGGCCGAGGAGGAGGAGAAGGAAGAGGAGGAGGAGGGGCACTGGTGCTGCGTCCCCTCTGGAGTCCCGCAGCTCCTGCTCGTGTCCGACCAGTCCAGCCCAGCTGGCAGTGGCCCAGCGCGGTAGGCGCTGAAGCCATCGACTCCCTCGCGGACTCTGCAGGGGGGTATCCTCCCTCCTTCACAAACCCAGATTCCTCCGCCATCCTCGCCTTGGCTCATACCCGAGAAAGGAGAGAGCGAGTCCACAGCACGACTTTGCGGGATCTGGGCCACGGCGGCCACGGGCTTCCGATCCCTCTCCTCCTCGATCTTCCCCCCCCCACCCCCCGCCCCGCGCGTGGTCCGCCTTCCCCCCCCTCGCCCTTGCCCCGCCGCCTTTGCTCACGCCTCCCCCCACGGGGGAACCAAAAGGTACAGATCCCGCTGCTCCCCGGACCTCTCCGGGGGTGAGTTCTGACCGAGATCTCGGGGCGCAGCCAGCGGTGGCGACGAGGTCCCCCCAGGAGGCCCACCAGAAGAAAAGCCAGGGAAGGGGAGCGGTATGGGTAATTATCTGTTCCTGCTCTGACCCCCCTCGTTGTCGCCCCCGCAGTCCCCCGCCAGCTAGGCTTAAGTCGGGCGTGTCCCCCTGCCGGGGGATCTTCGACGAAAAATGCAACAAAAGTTCTCCAAAACTACCCCAACACGGTAAAACAAATGCTCAAAAAATGGTCCCCCGAGTATGTGTTGACATCTCTTGGACAGGCCCGACTTTAACGCTGGGCTGTCGATGCCTTGCCCCCCCCCCCCCCGACAGGCGGGGCTGCCGCGCTGCCCCACGAAGGCGCCCCCACGGGGCAGCGGAGGCCCCAGAGGCCCAGGCGGCGATGCTATACCCCCGGGCCGTGGGGCTGGCAGCGTCCCGCTGGGCCCCGCCGGGGGCCGACTGGGACAGCGTCGTCCGAAGCATGATCCCTCCTCATTCTTTCCCTCCCCTTCCTTCCTTCCTTCCTTCCTTCCTTCCTTCCTTCCTTCCTTCCTTCCTTCCTTCCTGCTGCTCCTCCTCCTCCTCCTCCTCCTCCTCCTCCTCCTCCTCCTCCTCCTCCCTCCTCCTCCTCCTCCTCCTCCTCCTCCTCCTCCTCCTCCCTCCTCCTCCTCCTCCTCCTCCTCCTCCTCCTCCTCCTCCTCCTCCTCCTCCTCCTCCTCCTCCTCTCATCCTCCTCCTCCTCCTCCTCCTCCCTCCTCCTCCTCCCCCCTGCCCCTCCTCCTCCTCCTCCTCCTGATCCTCCTCCTCCTCCTCCTCATCCTCCCCCTCCTCATCCCCCTCCTGCTCCCCCTCCTCCCCCCTCTCCTCCTCGTCCTGCTCGTCCCCTCCTTCCTCCGCCTGCTCCTCCTCCTCCTCGTCCTCCTCCTCCTCCTCCTCCTCCTCGTCCTCCTCCTCCTCCTCCCCCTCCTGCTCCCCCTCCTCCCCCCTCTCCTCCTCGTCGTGCTCGTCCCTCCTCCTCCTGCTCCTCCTCCTCCCCCTCCTCCTCCTCCTCCTCTTTCTCATGCACGTCCTCGTTCTCCTCCCTTCTCCTCTTCCGTGTGCTTTGCCTCCTCTGCCCACCACCGTGCTTGCTTATGTGTAACTCTCCTCGATCGAGTCCAGACGTGTGGGCAGGACGGGCTGGGCCTGTCGCCTGAGACTTACCCACCACTCGTTGACGCAGTCAGTCAGCGTTCTCATTCGGCCTCTCGGCCTTGGGCGGAAGGAGAGAGGCTCTGGCTCCGGACCTCTGCGCAACGCGCCCGTTTGTTTGCCGCCGTGCGTCCTATGGGGGAGACTCCATCTGCTCGAGACAGGCGCCTGAAACAGCCAGCCAAGATCTACTCCATTGGGGGGGGGAGGGGGCGCGAGGGCACGCGCCGATCGGCAGAGCAGAAGCCATGCGCCAACCCTTGGCACGGCGCTTGGGCACCACTGTCGTCACTGGGCCGGGTTTCCGGCAGGACGCGCGCGGGCAGAAGGGAACATCAGAACGCCCAACTGTGAAGCAGAAGTCGGGTCACGCGGGGAGGGAGGAGGGAGGGGGGCGACGACGACGAGGGCCCGCGCCGATCGGCAAAAACAAAGACAAAAAAACGATCGCATGGAGGGGCGGTGTTAAAAAAGGTGGGGCTCTCTCGCCCCAGCGCCGCGCACGCTCGTCTTAACCAGTTTGCAGCAGTTGCAGTTCGGTCGCGCATGTCCCCCTACAGGGGGCTTATGCGCGAGAAAGAAACAAAACACCAAGATGGTCAACAAATATTCAACACATCATGCCCATACTATTGTTCGACTAGGTTGAAATGTTCCTCCTGCAGAGGGACGTGCCCGACGTAAAGTTACAGGGATGGAGGAGGGTGCTCCAAAATTGAGCTGTCGCTCTAGCGCCGCGCACGCTCGCTTCTGTATACCATTTACACGGGTGGAGGGGGAGGGGGTGGGGTCCCTGTCAAGATGCAGCTCTCGCCTGAGCGCCGCGCACAGTCGCTTCAGAAGTTCGCACCAGTTACACCGATGGAGGGCGGCTTCTATGCAACATCGTGCTCTCGCCTCAGTATGCAGTACGCACGTTCGCCGAACACGCTCGCAACAAATACAAAGATGGAGGACGGCCCCTTTTTCAAAACTGACGCTCCAGCTTGACACTGGTGCACGTTGAAGCCCAGGGACTTGGAGATAAGTAGTTCGAGCTAAGGCATGCAGGGATGTATGAAGAGTGGACTTGGGACGGGCGTGTATTGCAAAGTCGTGCATGCATCCTGGGTTCACTCTGGTCTCCCTCATCCTCCTCTACGAGACCGATGTTGTATCACAGCAGCAATTCGGCCTCTGACTTTCGTCCTGGGCTCGGTTTAGTGAAGTGATGGATTTCGGGGTCCTTACGTGGGAAAAAACATCACTTCACTAATCTGGGGCCCCTGGGGCCTCAGTGGGCCCTGGGGCGCAAAATTAGTGAAGTGATGGTTTTCGGGCCTCGGATCCTCGTCCTCGTCCTCTTCATCCGCCCTCCTCTTCCCCCTCCTCATCATCCCTACGCCACCTCTCTTCGTGGTCTCCTCCCCCTCCCTCCTCCTCCAACTCTTCCTCCCGACTCTCCTCCGATGCACTGGCACTCCTCGCCCTGGAGGGGCGAAGGGAACGTTGTTTGGGCGAATGGACCGTGGGCCGAAGCTTGCTACCCACTGAGTCGCTTGCTACAGCTTCGAACCCAGCGTCGCGTCCGGGTCCGATCCAAGTTCACCTTCACCTTCCCCTCTCTCTCTCTCTCCCTCCTTCCTCCTCCTACACGTTACATCCTCTCCTCCACCTTCCCCCGGCGGCCTGAAGAAGGCTAAGACCGTCCAAAAACCCAGACCCCCGACATCGTGATGTTGTCACAGCGTCGACCCCCAGAGGTCTCGACCCCTGCCCCGGGACCGGCTTCTCAGGCGTCGTTTCGGGAGCGGCAAAGAAGGGGGTGTCCAAGAGGGGGGGGGTGCAAATCATGACCGGCGGCATGTGCGCGGCCCAGCGGGGGGGCCTGGGACGTAATGAAGCAAGAAGAGGCGCCATGAAATCTGGGGAAACATCATGGCCCGCGCCGTGATATCCACCCCCCCCCTCGTCATCACCCCCCTCTTTCCCGCCCCCGATCGTTCCCTGACGGCCCCGAGGCCCGGAAAAGGGCCCCCGGAGGCCGACAGATGGCGACACGCCTCCCCTCGTGTTGTTTCTCCCCTCACCGCGCGGAGGGGGTCCGCGCAGCTCGATCCTCGAGCCGCCCATCCTCGAACGCCCTCGTGGGGCGCCGCCGCCGCTGCGCCGACGCGCGGCGCGAACCCGCCGCGAGAGGGGCCCCCCCCAAAGGGGCCAGCGGGCCGTGCCCCCGGCGGCCGCCGAGCCCCCCGCGGGGGGGGGGCGGCGGGGGGGCCCTCCTCGAGGAGCGCGCGGGGGGCCCTGCGGGGCCGGAGGGCCGCGCGAAGGGCCGCCGAGGTCGGCCCGACGTGCTCGGCTGGCCGCGAGGGAGGGAGGAACAAAAACAGCCCTACCCCCTGCGAAATGCTTAAGAAATCATGGGTTAAGAAATTCAGAGTCTCAGAACTTGAATAACAACCCAACGTTTCCATCAAGATCTTAAGATTTACATGGAAACGTTAAGAATAATCGAGACTCTGGCCGAAAACTTAGGTCTTCTTAAGCATCGCCTAAGGTGTACCCTGGGTTACAAGTGCGTGGTCTGTACTGAGCGTTTTCTTTGGGTGGAGGGCAAAGGGTGAAATCTGATGTGCCGTTTCGATTGATGTTCGAGGCTTGCATCTGCAAAAGGCGAATCACAAGACGGACTGATCTTCGAGGTGCAGAAGTCCATATGGATTTCACCCTGAGCCCTCCACCCTGAGAAAATGCCCAGCTGTAAACCTCCTGGGAACCCCCAAAGCCTAGAGCCGCCAGGACGCGGCACATCACGCAGGGTTCACCCTGTCAGCCCACAGGCGGCCTCCTGGACTGGAGGCCTCCCAGATTGGGTCGGGGCAGACGGGGTCGGGGGATCGCGCCGCATCGCCGATACATCAGCCAAATCCAAGCGCAAGCAGCCGCGTTCACATCGAGCTCCACGATCGGGGGGGCCCCGGTGACTGAGCAGGGACCAGCCGTCCCGGAATTCCTGTACGCCTACCACGGAATGTTCTTCGAACCCAGAAATGTCCGAAGCACAAAAGCACTGTCCTTAGAACATAAGCCCGATGTGCTAATACAAAACAATATCAGCCAGACACTTTCTGAGAACATTTCGTGCACACCATCAAAGGTTCTTAGGACATTCTTTGGTGGACATATAAGTGAGCCAGAACGCTTCGCCAATGCTTGAGGTGAGCCCGCGCCAGAAGTCACTGAAGACGAAAGGAATTTTGGTTACGCATAGCCGACGACCTTCCACCTCCCAAAGGCCCCCTCACTCACGTCGTGAAGAAACCTGTTGGGCCCCGAGACCGTCACAAAACACCTCGGGATGAAACAACGGTTCCCATGATTTGAGCAGGGACCGACCGTCCCGGCATTCCCATGGGCCCACCACGACATGTTCTTAGCACCCACACATGTTCTGAGAACGAAAACAATGTTCTGAGAACGAAAACCCGATGCGTTAATGCAAGAACCTCGCAGCCAGACATGTTCTAGTAACATGTTGCGCAGACCACAAACAAGGTTATCATCACGTTCTTTGTTAGGCCCATCGGCAAAACAAGACCCTTCGCCGCTGCTTGCGTGATGAGGTTCAGACCTCTGGGGATCCACGTCGTGGACACCTCGTGCCGTCGGTGGTCCCCAGACGTCCGATGCCCTTAGTAGGGAACCGACCTCTATACACCGACGCTTTTTGCGGCCCTGCACTGAAGCTTGCACAGGAAAACGGCTCCTGGTGCATAATTACGGGATCCTTGTGTCTACATTTGCCGCCGCTTCCCTGGGACCACGGGACAAAAAGTATACGCCACACCACCCCGACGTCGCCGCCGACCCTCAGAGAGTCCTGGGGTGGAAAAGCAGCCCGCCAGTGGGTATGAAGGGGCCCCGGGACACACAAATAAATACACGCACACAAATAACAGTCTCCCCCACATTTTCTAATATCTTCTGGGTCTTCGTCTTCCCCCCCCCACTTCCCATATCTTCCCATATTTTTTCTGGGGAATCGTCGATTCATTGTGTCTGTGTGTGATTTTTCTTTCCTGAGGGTAGTGTACACGTTGCGGTTTCCGACCTATGCTCAGCGCCCCTCAAACGGGGACTCCACTAACGGGTACTTTGGCCAGTGACCCAGCGAACCCAGCCCTTCCCGATGTGGGCAAAGCTGCAATGCAAGAAAAAGGCCCTACAGTGGCAACTTTCGGCAAAAAATCAAAGTACCCGTTGGTAAGTACCCGTTACGGTGCCGTTGATATGCCTTCTCCCGCGCGGCCCCGGGGGGCCCTAATTAGAGGGCCCTGCGGCCCGAGCACGGCCCCCCGGGGGCCGCCAGAGGAGCAGCCCGACGACCCCTCGCACCGAGCACCGGGCCCTCGCCCGGCCCCGGGAGCTCATTAACGAAGGGGCCCTGGGACACACACACGCACACACACAAATAGACACACACACATAGACACACACCCACACACCCAAATAGACACAGATCACAGGATTCCACCTATGCTCGCCGGATGTTCTGGGTCTCTGGCTTCCCCCCCCCCCCCCCGCCACACTTCCCACATCTTCCCGTAATTTTCCTGGGAGTCGGCGATCCATTGTGCCTGTGTGCGTTTGTTCCCCTCCTGACTTCTGCGGGTCGGCCGGCCTCGGCGTAGAGGTAGACGACGTCGACGTGGCCGGAGGCCGCCGGCCTCAGCCGGAGGCTCAGGCCGGCGGCCTTGCAGAAGAGGTAGCGGCAGTCCTTGAAGGCCTTGCTCTCCACCTGCAGAGGCGCACGGACGGTCTTCGCAGGGGGCTTCTCCAAGGGTCCCAGGGACACTCATACCCCCACCCACACACATACATACATGCATGCATACGTGCATGCATGCATGCATGCATACATACATACATGCACGCATGCATACATACATACATACGTACATGCATGCATACATACATACATACTTACATACATGCATATATACATACATCCGTGTATGCATGCATACATGTATGCATGCATACATACATACACGAACACATACATAGATACATATAGGTATATATATATATACATTCACACATCAATGCATACATACATACATGCATGCATGCATGCGTGCATACATACATGCATGCATACATGCATCCATACACATACATGCGTACATGCATACAGACGTACATACATACATACATACATACATACATACATACATACATATATACATACATACATACATACATACATACATACATACATACATACATACATACATACATACATACATACATACATACATACATACATACATGCATGCATACATGCATACATACATACATACATACATACATACATACATACATACATACATACACACATACACACATACATACATACACACATACACACATCCACATATACCTTCATTTTTATATGTATATACATATACGTACATACATACATACATACATACATACATACATACATACATGCATGCATGCATGTATGCATACATACATACATACATACATACATACACACACATACATACATACATGCATGCATGCATACATACATACATATATACACATCTATATATATATATATATATACAGACGTAACTCCGCAGACACAGATCCCATAATAGCACACCGTTTCCAATTTGTTCTGGGTTTCCGTCTTCCCCGCCACATCCCAGCTTTTCCGATATTTCCGGGGAGTCGATGATTGATTGTGTCTGTGTGTTTTCCCCTCCTGAGCTTCCTGGGCCACCCGACTTCGCGCATCGCGCCATGAGATCCGCGACGCGCTGGCATTTCCACGCCCTCGCGCTGCCCTTGGGGAGGGGCAGTTGGCAAACCCTCTGGCCCAGGCCGCGACTCGCGAAGAGGGATCCTCGCGCGACTGTCCGCGCTCTCCGCCTGTGAGCGCACTGGCGGCCGCGAAAGGAGCTTCGCACCAAGATCGCGACGTTATGGTCCATCTAATGTGGACGTTTTTTTTCTCGATTCTGGCTTCCGCCCGTTTTCGGGCCGTGGAGACGCGCGTGCTGAAGAGAAGGAATGGGCTTGCGAGAGCCATGCGAGTTAGGGCCACGCGTGGGACGGAAAACATGGGCCACGCGGCTGAGCGACGTAGCGCCTGCTGGACGACGACAGTCTGGCATGGGCGTCCACCATTTTACTGGAGGTCCGCGCAGACAACGCGACAGACAGGGGCGCCGCCGGAGGCGCCGCCGGGGGGGTCCTGCGCGGATTCGGAA